GAGTGGTCGAACCCCCGCGCTTAATGGCGAAAATTTCAAAGTCACATGGTAAATTGACTAACCTGAGAATCTCCGGCTTTGCCGCGAAGACACTCTTGACACATTCGAGGCATGCTTTGGATTCGCTGTCCATCCTTTGCGATGATCTATCTGCTTTATATTTTATTGCTTCTCAATTATGTTGTAGCTTTTCTGGAGGATGTCTAATTCCCTTCCTTTGTACTTTGATTGTTTAAATGAATGAAGTAAAATTGTTGAAAAAAAAAGAAACCTAGATTTTGAAAAAAATTCTTGTTTCGCGATTTGGATTAAATTTTCTATAAAAAAAGAATTAAAAAATAAAAATGTTCAATGATTTAACTTGTTACTAATCTAACTTGTTACTAAACTTTTCACTAACTTAACTTGTGACTGTGTTATTTTAACGATATATTGGTAGAGGAAGTTTATCTGTATTTTTGCTAGCTTTAGGTTTGTTTAAATTGCACTAAAACACTTCCATTTCCTATAAATTTTCTCTTAATGAGTAACATTGAGATGAAAATATCATTTGCAATCTCATTTGCATATGTGCAAATCATCACCATTCTCCTTCTCTTGAGCAAATCCAGCTCCATTATCCTTCTCCTAATCACTTTTTTTTCCAAGACCTCTACCTCTCAGAGTAATCTATTTGTTCACAAGATATAAGTCCTAATTCTAGCTTTATTGGGTGCTTTTGTTCTAGCCCTAGGTGTAGCTATTATCGTATTCTGGATTATTAGGAAAATTTTGCATTCGAATAGGTTGAACACACCTGAAGTGGAGTAAGGTGTGGTCGATGTAGGAAATGATCTCTGTTCCGCTTTTTACAGAATACGAGTTTGTTCCAGAGGATGACTTCATCCCTGTACTAGAAGTTATTCCTAAAGCAGATTTTCCATTCATCTTCAAGGAAGAAGAATGCATGCTCTGTTTGGAAACCTTTGTTGATGAGACTCCACTAGCTGATACATTGTGTGGTCATGCTTACCATTTACATTGTATCAGCCAGTGGAGCTCTAATAAGTGTCCAACCTGTAGACATCTATTAAGTTAGTGAAAGGGTGTATCGCAATTAATTAAAAATATATATTGCCATTTGTCATGAATAATGTAATGCAAAAAAAATCTAATAAAATTTATGTTTATTTTATATCCAGTTGTTTGTTTATTGTTCAAAACAATGTATTGATCCAACTCTAACAGCCTCTGCTACAACCTATACAATGCTTGTTCTTCTTCTTTGTCCTTTGCTTCATCAGTTTTTTTCACACCGCAAGTTTTTCAGGTAAGATATTTGCAACCTTCAACCATTTTGTTCTAGGCTTGCGAGATAATTGGATTGATCTTCACAATTTTTTTTTTTTAGTTTTTAAAGTAATTTTGTCTGGTTTTCTTATTTGATTACATAAATGCTCATAGTTTTTAATAATTTTTCTTAGCGTTTTTGTTTTTGTATTTCAATATTTATAGGATGGGTTCAGCGGAAATTGGGCATTAAAAGTACTTGACGAAGTAATTGGTTACTGGCCTAAAGAATTATTTACACAATTAAATAAAGGAGCCTCTTTGGTACGTTTCGGAGGAAATACATATCTTTCTCCTAATGAAATTAGTCCACCAATGGAAAATGGACATTTTCCGATTATCGATTTTCAAAAAACTGCACATCAGTGGCATGTCAAACTTAAGAATTCGAAATATCACTGATGTGCATACGATTATAACGAACAACTCTACGAACATCTAAATCCACAACGGTACATTTCTACTTGCACTACATCTATGATAGACAACTTTCTCTACAATATAAAACCAAAAAAAATCCCCCACCAAAATGTTATCGTAATCCCAAGAAAATGACTTGGTCATGAATCAGAAAATTGACAAATATAACTAAAAAAAAA